AATCCCTATAGAAATAGTTTCTTCACTCTTCACACTTACAGTAGTTTCTGAAGGGATATCAAAATAAACAGGAGTTTGGTCAGCATTCCTGATTTGAGACAAAATAGTTATTTTTTAACTCATATTTGTGTCCTATTTTAAAAAGTTTGTAACTTTTTCTTTATATGCATCTGGTAGCCTCTGCACAATCTGGGTCTGTCTACTTATGGTTAAATTATTACAGGCAAAACACCTCACCAACCACCCTTGACTTGCCTTAAAATTTGTTACTTGCTTGGCCCTAGCAATTTCTACACTTTCATCTGATACATTTCTGTTGACACAGCATATCCAAACTGCTGCTTCTTACAAATAAAGCTCACTAGCTCCTCTTTGATTACCTCAAACTCCAATTTGGATCCTCTGAAGGCTCTGCAATTATTTGTAATCTCCATTAGAAGGTCCTTGTTCTTCCTCCAGTCTCTTATACAGGTGTCACTGACATCAAACCTTCTCCCACCAGCCTGATTTCCAACTTCCTCAGCCACTCAAATTATCTTAAATTTTTCACTTGCTGTGAAACACCTTAATTTCATACCTTTATACTCATTTTTCAAATAATAACTGAAGTAATGGTCAACCCAGCTTTTAAATGACAAGGTGCAGGTAGAGAGATACAGTTAGGTATGCAATGACTCATACTCTTGTAAGCCACATACCCCATTTTACAGGTAAACTATTTTAGAAAAAGTGTGCATGTTTAAATATACAGTGTATTGATTTGACAAAGAACACTGGTTTTATGACTGTTAAATATATTTGGAAAGTTTGCTAGTGAAAATGAACTGTTCGATAGATATGTGAGAATTAAGTTTAAAGGTTTGTATATAACTCTGGGATTTCTTCAGGAAGTTCAAAACTACATCAGATTTCCTGGGATGTTTCATTGTTCTTGACTAAAAAGATTACTTAAGGTTCTTTGTACTTCAATTTTATATTTCTAAATTTTTGGAAATTAAGGTATTGCTTGAAAGTTTAACAGAATTATGAATCCCATTGCTTAACAGAATTGCGTACAACACAGCAAGGGCAGGTATATTTCTACCACATCCCAAGTGGAGTAAGTACATGGCACGATCCTCGCATTCCTCGTGAGCTATCAGTGGGCTCTAGTGATCTGCTGGCTGAGCTCGGTCCCTTGCCTCTTGGTTGGGAAATGCGTCAGACTGCTTCTGGACGCATCTATTATGTGGACCACAACAATCGCACAACACAGTTTACGGATCCTCGACTCTCTGGTTCTGTCATATCCAATCTCATGAAGTGAGTTCAATTCATTGATATGTCTAGTGTGTGTTGAAAAATTAGTTACACCTGACATTCAAGTATTTGAATTTCTTGATTGGTTTATTTGAAGATTGGTGGATGTATCATGTAATGTATTATAAAACACAGAATGCATTTATTTTGAAATCAAAATTATGTGTTCCTCCACACATGGATGCACACGGACACATATATATACATATATGTGAAGATGTGAAAAGAATCTGAACATAACTCAGTAGTCTGTTCTTTAATGTAAAATAGTTTCTTCCTCAGGAAAGGTTTTTTTCCAGAAGAGAAATCTTACATCATCAATAGATGAAGGTAAAATTAAAATGGAACATCGAGTCTGTGGAAGAACTAACTCCTTGGTAGCAGAACTTGCAGGTTCAACACTGATAACACCAAAGCCCACCACCAGCCATGGTCCTGAGCCAACTCCATCCATTTGCCATCCACACAGCCCACCTCCCTAAGATCCATCTTGATGTTATCTCCTTCTTGGTCTGCCCAGTGGTTGTTTTCCAGAAGGATTCCGTACCAAAATTCTGTGTGCACCTCTTGCCCCCCCCCCCACATTCGAGCTACATGTCCAGCCCATCGGAGCCTCTATATTTCACTATCCTTACTATGCTACTGATCTGTACAAGTCACGCAACTCCTCGTTATGCAGTATTATTAAGTTCCCACTTATTTCATCTGTCCTAGGTTCAATTATCTTCCTGAGTACCTTGTTGTGGAAGAACAAGCAATAAAAAGTTTACTGAAGGAATAGAGTCATATAATCAAATATTAAATTGGGATTTTTAGGTTTTTTAAATAGTTGTTGGATTATGTGTCTGGTACATAAAAAATGGAAGATATTACTGTTTACTAGAATTTTTGGAAGCGAATATAGAAATAACTGCAGTAATTACAGGGATACCAGTTTATTGAATGCAGCTTATTAAGTTTATACTAAGATAGTGACTAGGTATCTAAATATTACAGAAACCTTATTAACAGATTTCTGCATTTGAAGCGTTTGCTGTTTCAAATCATATGTATGTTCAGTGTTAGTTTTTATGTTTACAGTCTGTTTACTATTGTTAAACAATTTGGTGCAAAATAGCATTAGAGTTAAGTGAAAACTCTTTATTATCTGGAAAAGTCATAATGTAGTCATTAGTTGAAATGGGTATCTTGTTTTCGCTTAACATTTCGATAACTGTCAGACTGTGCACTTTATATATGAGGTGTATGGCTGATTGTGATTCTTGGTTTTGTTCTTTTGGAATGCATTGCCTTTAGAGAAAGAAAGTAATTAAATATTTATGTAATAAAAAACATACTCAACTTTCAAAAGTGGTGTTTTCACCCATCTAATAATATGCACCTTCCTTTGTTTTAGGAAGCAGAACATACCTTTGTCTTCCTCCCTGGCAAGCCAAGTAGCTCTTGCAACAAGTAGTGCCACTACATCACCATCTCCACCTCCAAGCAATGGTAGTGTTCGTGTAGATCCTGTAGGGAGTGAGAACTCAAGTTCTGGTTTTAGTTCTCCAAGCAACAATAATCCATCTAGTTCTAGCCTTAGTTCAAGTTCCACTTCCACTGTACCTTCCCCCACCAATAACAATAGTATTATGGACCATTCTAATGGACGCACAATGGCAGAGGGCTGCAGTTTAAATATTACTACAGAGTCTGCTGTTGTGAGAATGGGTGATCTTCCCAAAGATTTGCTAGATAGTGAAAGTCTCCCCAAGTACAAACGCGACCTGGTGGCTAAGCAAAAGGTTTTAAGAGCAGAGCTGCAAGCCTTGCAACCCCAGAGTGGTCATTGTCGTCTGGAAGTGTCCCGCACAGAGATATTTGAGGTGAGCCCACAAAATGGTTAGTTTTGTTCACTGTTTTTAGAGAAATTCACTTGGTGTGAGATGCCAGTACTTACTGTATAATCATGGAAACATATGTTACCTATAAATAACGAAGGAGGGTTTGTGAACACAAACTCTTGTATGGGACATATATCATATTTACTTGAATCTAGATAACAGATTCTGTTTTCCATATTGTATTCCAAAATGAGATTTTAAGAGTCTCATGGTACTGTATTAGAATTACACTTACTCATAGATTCAGCATACTTCACTTCATTTCAGATGACCTCAGTCAGTGTTATCACAATGTGTCTGACTATGCTTCTCCAGTGTGTCCATAGTATGGAATGCGAAATTGATTTCCATGGTATGTTTTTGAGAGAAACATACTGGAATAAAGTGAGGATAGAGACTACTTTCTTTGTTTTGGACAATATCCATGATCTGGATTTTTTAAAAGCCTTAATATATCTTAAAATCTTAAAAAAAAAATCACAGTTGTTTGAAGGATAGATGTTTAATTGTATACGGTTAAAATGGGGGGGGGGCACCTATTCTGTTGGATTTGGTAGACCAAGCTATTCCTGATTTGTGGTCCACAGGCTTTTTAAAGAAACCAGACTGAATAAAGTCCAAAACAAAGAACATGGTAATATAATACTATTGCCCAAGACATGCAATAAGGATAAAGAGTTGTGCAAAGAAAATTTCAGACAACTTTCTTATAGGTAATCAGATATGGCATTCCTTGTTTTTTCCTTGTCATCATAACTTTTTGTAATAAGTGACTTTTACTACAGTTCTGTTACACAAAATGTAATACATTGTATGGCATTCTATATGGTAAATCTGTAGGCAATCAGTCAGCTGATTGCTCAGCTAAATTGTTATCTCAAAAGTAACATGGAGATGGGGTAGCTGTTATGTATCCTTCTGATTGACAGGAATCCTACCGGTTAGTAATGAAGATGCGGCCAAAGGATATGCGAAAGCGACTGATGGTAAAATTCCGTGGCGAAGAAGGACTGGATTATGGGGGTGTGGCAAGAGAGTGGCTCTTTTTGCTGAGCCATGAAATGCTGAACCCACAATATGGCCTGTTCCAGTACTCTCGTGAGGACAATTATACACTTCAAATTAATCCAGACAGTAGCATCAACCCTGTGAGTTTACTTTCTTTGCCTTTGCCTTTATACACTTTCAGTAGCAGTGCTTATTGTATTTTTTTATTATTTTGCATGCATGAAACAATTACACTCACATTGGTAAGACACATACATTTTAGTTATCTATTATCATGTGTTATATCGGGACCATATTTTAAAGAGATGCTAGTGTTTGTGCCATCTCAGAAGTTTGTGTTTGCCATGTTGTTATTACCAATTGTAGAAAATTGGAAAGTATGAGTTTGAGGTATGCTATTTCATCAGAATCTGTCCAGTGATTCTTAAGGTGAAACATAAAGACAGCCAGATGCATTCGTTTTATGCACAGCATAGAATGTACAAGTACAACAATAATACTGTGGCATTCATGTGAAAATTTTCTTTAGCTTTCAATTTTACTGATATAATTAATTAATAAACCATTGGATTTAGGTATTTGAACTTTTGTATGGAGATATATAATAAACATAAATATGAAATATTGCTTGTGGTTCAACAGCTACAAACATTACTACAGTGTGAAAGTTATATGCCATATGTGACAGATTTCACATAGAATTGTTATAGTAGATCTTCCAATAAAGAAAATAATAATAGCAACAACATCAATAATAATAATATAAATAGGTTAATAATATTCTTTGATGTATTTTCAATTGCAAGTAATAATAAAAATATTTACCCTGAGTAGGATTTCATTTTATGACCATCTGTGGACAAGTTCAGAATGCCAATTTAGGAGCTATATTGAATTATAGGAGTAGAGCTTGAGAATAATGATTTCAGCTGACACTTTGAATTTCATTCTTTTGGATTTACTAGTCATTATTGTATGTATTATCCGCTAGCCACGAGAGTAGATGTGGCCTTGTCAGCCGTTGCTTGTGTGGCAGGGGAAAGTGGGTTCTGCGCATGCGCTGGTGATGTATTCCTTACCTAAGAACATTGTGCTATCAGTCAGTCAGTACATTAGCTCACGACGTACGGCCTGTATAAGCTGCGGGTGTTTTTCGGTCCGCTAGTAGCACAGAATTCTACCCCACCTCCCTCAAAGATGTCAGGTCTACTCTCGTGGCTCACGGACAATACAATACACTGAACACATAATGATAAACTGTTAATTATGATGTGTTATCATAGCAGTCACTGTAGGCCAGGTCTTGAGTTGTTAATTTACTTAATCCAAGCACTCTGTCAACATGAGCTATAGACTCAAACACACGCACATGTGCATGCACAGCTAGGAGCATTTACAATGCCAGGGTACAAAAGTCACACATGGAAACTCATTGTACTCTGGTATGTTTCCAGTATCGTTGGTCATGTGATTTTCAGACTTATAATTCTTAATCATTCATCAGTGTTTGTAGTTATAATAATTGTATAGTGTACTCTTCTGTCTGCCAGACTTTGATTTGTTATTGCTGAATAAATCAAGAAACAACACTCCAGATGTAGTAAAGTATTGTAATGAAATACTTATATGTAAGTGTGTTGGCTGGCTGTGTTAGGAGCATCTGTCCTACTTTCACTTTGTGGGGCGTATCATTGGCATCGCGGTGTTCCATGGTCATTATATAGATGGTGGGTTCACCACCCCCTTCTACAAAATGCTGCTCAACAAACCCATCACTCTAGATGATATTGAGGGTGTTGATCCTGAGCTTCACCGTAGCCTCACGTGGATGCTGTAAGTGTTCCTGTGAATGTGGTTGGAGATTTTATGTTAAGATTAAATGAAAAGTGTTCATTAGGAGTCATGAGCTAATAATATGAGATAGCTCCTGTAAAACTTTACACAAAAATAAAATGTCTCCAACCTCCAGTTGTATTTTAGTGTTAAAAATGTTAAGGTTGAATAATTTGTTTTGCGAGTCTCATTTCTTACTGCAGAAATTAACCTTACTGTAAGATGAGAGGGAAATCTTAAAAATGTTTTATCAGAGAGTTAAAGAAGCATTGAAATAATACCATACATTTTATGGCACACTCGATTGCGTTTAGGACTGTCATAAATGTAATATGATGGTCATGTGATGAAATTGGCCTTTTGTAAATTAATTACATTTTACTATAATATTTAAGTTGCTTTAAGATGTCAGACATGTCAGTTAATTGCTTACACTGAACCTTAGGCAACTTGCATGCTTTATAATACTTAACCATGTAATTTGATATTTTCCAATCTATGTTGTATTATCATTAAAACAATTTATGTAGTATTTTTACTTATATTGTGAATATTGAATTGCCTAATTTTAATATTGGCTGTGGTGATATAGGGAGAACGACATGACTGGTGTTATTGACACAACATTCTCAGTAGAACACAATAGTTTTGGTGTATTGAGGGTACATGAACTGAAGCCTGGTGGTCGTGACATACTGGTTACAGAGGACAACAAGAAGGAGTATGTCAAGTAAGTTAAATGCTTGCATATTGTATACATGTACATAATTTTCTAAACAGATCGTATTGATGGTTTTTGGATTTGTGAAATATTGCAGGTTGTATGTTAATTATCGATTTATGCGTGGAATTGAACAACAGTTCCTAGCACTACAAAAAGGCTTCACAGAGCTGATACCAAGTCAGTTATTGCGTCCTTTCGATGAACGTGAATTGGAGCTGGTGATAGGAGGTCTTGGCTCTATTGACATTAACGACTGGCGCAACAATACTCGACTCAAGGTTTGTAATTTTGCTTATTCAGCCATTGTATGTTATGAGATGTTTTGAAAATATTGGACAAAAATATAAACAATCTGGATTGAGCATCGGTTTAATATAAATAATTTAGACTGTGAGAGCATGTTCTGTAGAACTTTTTTTATCAGAGGACCCAAAGAAGAAAAATGTGAAGTGCAAAACATAATACAATAAAATAATTGGTTACATATCACATTGGATACTGTAATGGCCAGGTCCAAGATAATCTTGAGTTTTGGAAAGGTTTTTCTGTTGGAAGCTAAAAGAAGAAAAATATAGCTCTCCAATTTCATCCCTTGTGTAGGCTTTCCCATTGTATTAAAACTTTGCATACCATGTAGTGTATTAGAATATAAAATAAGTAAACAAACAACTATTAACACTATGAAAAGACACTATTGCCATATGCCACTGATGATGACCTCTTGAGGTTGAAACGCGTATGGCAATAGTGTCTTTATATAGTGTTAATAGTTGTTTGTTTACTTATTTTATATTTCCCATTGTAGTTATTTTATATACTTAATTTATTATTACTGGATTTCTGGACATATCCATCATCTGGCATCCTGAAAAAAAAACAGCATTTCAGAAACTGGAATTCAGAATTCTTAGAGATTTTACAGTACTTTGATTCTCCAGCTCTGTTTTTTGTATTGTTTCTGTTTATTTTACTTTTATAGCTTATATTTTGCTTTTGTAATTTATACCAGTTTTCTAGAAGTTTTCATACTATGTTGTCCTCCATAAAAAACATTAAGTTGAAGTTTCAGGGAAATATAATATTTGTATTAGTTTACTTCCCCATACTTAATTTGTATTTCAACTAAATAGGTATATATGTGTTCTAGCACTGCACTCCAGAAACTCCAGTAGTGCAGTGGTTTTGGCAGATAGTTGAAGAATATGGAGAGGAGATGAGAGCAAGACTTCTTCAGTTTGTAACTGGAAGTTCTCGTGTGCCTCTTCAAGGATTCAAAGCTCTGCAGGGTATGTGTATTTGGCAACTAACAAGTCTATGATACAAGTTCTTTCTTGAAAAACTGATGGTTACTCACCTGGTCAAGGAATTCCCTTCTTTTATGGAATGCTTATTATTGTGTACTGGACTTTATCCTGAGCCATCCCATTTCACTCCACACCTTCACATCTTATTTCATTAAGATCAGTTATAATGTTGCCCTCTCATTTGTGCATGTGGCTACCACGAAGTCACTTCCTCTGAAGTTTTCAAGCAAAATTTTGTTTTAATTTATCATTTCCCCATGCATGCTATATTCCCTGCTTATCACAGCCTTTTAACAATACCTGTTGATAAATACAAATATGAAGCTTCACCTCATGGAATTTTCTTCACATCTTAAGTGTCTTAAGGGTCTCTTGTCACTGTAGCATGGTGCATGTTTTCCTCATATGGAGGGTAGCTGCAGATATGCTTCATAATGAGTTCATTTGTTAACCAGCATTGCGTATGCAACAGCTTATTCATATACATGCCATGTCATATAAAGGGAACAGATTGTGTATTAGAATGACATTTTGTGGAAAGTGTTGTGTGTTTTTGTCCAAAGGTTCAACAGGAGCAGCAGGTCCTCGTTTGTTTACAATCCACGTAGTGGATGCACCAATAGAAAATCTGCCCAAGGCACATACATGCTTCAATCGAATTGACATCCCACCATATCAGAGCTACCAGAAAATGTATGAAAAACTCACCCAGGCTGTTGAAGAGACATGTGGTTTTGCTGTTGAGTAGTCGCAGACAATTATATAATAGTAATATTGCTTGTGACTATGTGGATACTCTATAATGATGGTTGTAAAAATGCCAAATTTAGTCCATGATAGGGTTCTCTGGTGTGATACAAACTTTGACTGCTCTCTGGTTGGTGCAGGGAAATGTGTGGCATTTTGTGGTACTGAGAATTACTTGATATTTTATCCCAGATTTGTTTTAAGTAGGGTTTCGCTCTAAATCCTGCGGTGTACATATTACTCCAAATATCCAGAATGTGTTGTTATGATGGCTGATCATGATAGTTTTCAAGAGGAGCCTGGCCGGCCACAGTTCTCCTTGTTTGATGTTCAGCCTCAGGTTGATGAGATTAGCAGAGAGGAGGGTTATATTTAACATGTCTGTTGAAATTTTTTAATTTTTAGGAACATTTTGTTTATTTCTAAAAACACACACTTAATTGTTCATATAAATGACTTTAAACTAGTATCTGATGTTTTAATAGCTGTGCAGTTAGCAGCTTCATTTTGGTACACACCTAAATAAAATTTAAAAATAATATAGTGAAGTAAAAGTTTGTTGGATATACTTCTGTGATAAATATTGCATTCACAGTTCTAAACTTTTGCAACATGCATGATAATTTAAATATTTGGCATAAACTGTGGGAGACTTCCTTTTGCCTTATAATTAACTTCATGGAGCAGAGTCCTTCATGAAAAATTATCATATTTTCCCAATAGCATGTACTTCCTTCCCCACAAATAAATTGTCTCTCTTCATTTTCAGTTGAATATTTATGATGCCCTCTAGTATAATATGTTACTCATGTGTAACATAAAAAATATATTTATTTTATTTATCATGTCATGTATAAATCTTGTTCCATATCTGTCTTTGTCTGATTTGGATATCTCACAAATATGTTACATATTTGTAATTTAAGTTGAAGTACATGGCAGTCTCTGAAGTGCCATGTATGAATATCTTTTTAGAATAATAAGAAATTTGTATACTTACATCCATTGGTTTGCATAGGTTTTGTGGCACCAGAAATACTGTATGTGGAATGTAAAAAAGTTTGTTTTGGCAATCATGGGGGCATTTATGCATATTTAGGTTGGTAACTTGCCATTTTGAATATCTGTTATTGTGTATATTTTATTAAAAACAGCAGATTTATTTTATGGTTGGTTTAAAGTGATCAGAGAATATGTACCATTTTTTCATTTAACTTGGTTACAGAAAGTGACAGACAGTGTTTTTTTTAAAATGTTAACATAACATTAGGTGTAAGTATATAAACGTTTTACATAAGTGTCTGTGATTGTTTAAAATTAGTTCTTCATTTACATGACATTTTTCAGGAATGTATTTGTCATGTAAATGTGTAAATGACTAAATAGCAATGTTTCTAGTCCATGATAAGTTTCAGCAGACTTTGTGATCAGATAAAACCCTCTGACTGCAGGTGAGATTAGGAGTTGGGATCTCTTGTCTTGTAAGAGATTTGTTGTAAATCAGATCACTCAGCAAATTGCTGTGTGAAATGCTTCCATTCTGAAAGTGAAACTCATTGCACATAAATGATGTATTTTAATGTAATGTTGAGTAACTTTTTGTTAGGAGGAAGGAAATAAAATTATAAATTTACACAATTGTTCATGAGAAAAAGCTTCTTAGACTAGGAATTTTATTTACATAGGCACTCACCATATCTTGTAAATACTTACTCATAAAATGTCTTTTTGTAAATAGTTTGATGTAATTTTGTACCATGTAATTTGCTTCCTGTAAATTATAAAATGATTTACTAAATTGCTTCACTGCCATGGTGGTGGTGATGGTGTATAAATGACAGAAACTTTGCTAAGGACTGCAGGGTTTTATTGGTGAGCCTTTGTTTTTACAACAGTTGTTCCATGTTGTTTAAATGATATTTCCTTGAAGTGATAACATTATATATTTAACTCAAAATATATTGTTGCAACAGATACTTGGTCAGACTAAGATGGAGATGTTGGACATAATTCATTATCATTTAGAAATTTCAGTTTTAATTCTTAAAAGTGACAGATAGTAGATATGCCAGTTCACTTGTAATTGCAAATAATATATACAGAGTCCTGTGACAATACACTTGTTGACCAAAGAAAGTGTTTGGATTGTAGGTGCACAGTCACCAAAATGAACCTACATAAATACTGGGTTGAAGCCTTTGTTCTTGAAATTGAAGAATCATATGTATATTATAATGTGGGATGTTAGCAATTAATTGTTATTCAGCTGATCAACAAATACCCTGTTATGGAACATGAACATTCATCACCATGATTGCTAAAGCCTTTTGGTGGACCTCATCCTGAACCAGTTCAGTATGATTCATCTTCACAGTCTGCTCTCTATAAGCTCCATTTTAATATTATCCTGTCTACACCTAGGTTTCTGAAGTAGGATCTTTCCTGTAAGGTTTCCCTAACCAAGATTATGTATGCATTATGTTTTTGCTGATCTGAATCTCAATTATCCTTTATTGTGTGAGAATGGGGCATTTAAACTACATGGAGATCCCAGCCAGACATTAACTCTGGTTAATGGTGTAGTGTTTATTAGTGCAACATATGATTTCCTGTAGTATGCATAAACTGTAATGCATGGATGATGAAGATTAACTGAGCATAGTTGTAGGTGAAGAGAGTTTCATATCTTGTAGGCCTAAATACACTCCTCAGCTCTTTGTTCTCAAAACCCCCTCAGTCTTTGTTTTTCTCTCAGATTGAAAACCAGGTTTCATGCCACATGAAGTTATATTTTTGTATAGTTTAATTGTTATACTTTTGGAAAGATGTGGGAAGAGAAAGTTTCTGAATTAAATTTAATCCGCTAAATTTCATTATGTATGTAATTTTTATGTTTCTTGGAAAGAGCATGCTCTTTATAAGATGAAACTTTTTATGGTTTTGTAATTGAGATTGAAGTATCGCCAGGCATGATCTAAATTAATTTGTTTACAGTTGTACTACACCAATACATAAGGCATGAGCTTGCTGAGCAAACTGCTTGTTTGACCCAGTACAGCTGGAAGGTGTGTTATAAATAACAACATTGTTGATGTTAAGAAATGTGTAATGCTATTTTTATTATAATTGACTAGTGAAGAGATGGTCAGAACAAATTTTAAATCCAGAACAAGTTTAAACCTAATTCTTGAACACTGATGATGACTAGGGATGGTTACTCATACTATTTTCCACTTGCTCTCTGAGAAAGCCACACACACTGTTACAGTTTCTTTTTGTATGTATGGCCAGAGGTATCCAGGCATTTACACAGAGTTATCCCTTCTGAGACCTCAGATTCAAAATTCACTTATCTTCATCCTAAAATAATAATTAAACCAGTAACTTACACACGTCAGATTGTCATTCAGGCTGAACTGAACAGCTATGTGTAGCCATGGAGAAGCTTTGATTATTTCCTGTAGTGATAATAGGCCATAGCTCTAGTCGTTTAGAAGGAAGAAAGAATTATAGTGTTTTTAAATACTGTGGTCATTGGTGCAGAAATAAGAAAAAGATGAGCCATTGCATTAACTTTATGTAATTAATGGAAATTTACATGGCTGTGTAGTTTACAAGATAAACAGAACTGCCTGTTACATCTACCTGTTTTATATTTAATTTTAAAATGGCTTAATAATGAAGTTGTGATTATGTTCTTGAGATGCCACAGTGTGGGAATTAGCTGTTAAAAGTATCTGCTATTAAGAGCTATCAGTGCACTTAAGAATTAGGCCTTTCACTTTAATTTCTCAGTAACTTGAAGGAGAAAGTACAGACTGTCTCCACAGTTATTTTGATGTTAACAGGATTAAATATATAGCATCTTTAAAGTCTGTAATCTAATTTAATAATATGATCAAGTTTACTAGGAGGAAAATGAAAACTTTCTTTTAATGTTTAATTTAAAAAGGGAACATCTTAAAACTTGTTTTCAGCTTGCTTGAGTAGAATGTATAACATGATTGAAACTTTAAAGTACTGTTCAAAACACAAATGGTACTAGAGAATTCTTTCTGGTCATGTAAGTTCCTGCAGGAATTATATACTTTAGTGATTGCTTGTTAAAATAAATTTTACAGTGGTGAAGAAAAGCAAAGTTTGCAATGTCTGTGGAAATATTTACTTATTATTTTTACACCGTGTGGATATAAAAGTGTTCTGATACATAGTTCTGTGGTGAAATATGCTAGTTAATTATTTTCTCAAAAGATATCAGTACTTGTGTAAAACTAGTCTTGAAATATCTTTGGATTTTTTAAAAATATTATGAAGTGTGACTACATGGGAAATTTTACTTCTTAGAATACCGTTGTAGCTCAATACAAATGAAACATGTACTATACTGTAGAGATTCTAACATCAAATGGCTTCCCTGATTATGGGCTGATGCAATTAAAACTTAAATTTTACTTCTTTTTTTATGGAGGCACTTTTTAACATCTTATGTTTTACTTTGATAACATACTATGTGGCCTGGCAACCATATTTAGATGGCCAAAGACATGAGACTAGTTGCAGATAGATCAATAAATGAGACTATAGGGTAGCTCTTTGACCTTTCACGTGTCTATGGTAGGGTATGTGTTAAGACAAAGGGGGTTAGAGGAATGTAATGGTTTATTAGTCATTTAAACTTTTGTATTTAAGTGGCTAGCAGCCATACAGTCCCAACAAGGAGGCATGCGATGCTCTAGCTAGTATAGTACTAGTTACTTTGCTTCTGCAATGAGATGTGGCTTCTTCACATTGCAGTTGACCAGACCCAACATTTGGGAGGTTGTGCTTCTCAGGGATATGGTGAACTATGGAAGCCCTTGGAACTGTGAAGGAATAAATGTATGTAGTGTGCATGCCCTGTCAATAAGAAAGCTATGATTGAAGAAAGCATGATGCAACATTGAGATTACTTATGACATTTTGATCTACTGTTGAAAAGTATGGTATTAAGGTAAATCAATTGAACTTACTTAAGGTATATATATTTTATACTAACATTTAGAATCTATAATCTCTTGATATTTCTGATGTAAACTTATCTGTTCTTGTGTTGGAAAGTTATTTTTCCTTATTAGTGCACAGTTTACAGACCATGTCAGTTGATATTCTAGAAATAATTGTAATATCTTTTAAAACAAGATATTTGCAGTAATCCTGCACATTCTTTCCCATTTTATTTCTAAGCTCATTTTATTGTTGACTGATTGCTAACAAATTCATAGGAATTAAAATACTGTACTCTCTTGATTATCTGAGGTAACTGGGACCAACTATGCATCTTGTATTGAATAACGAAATACTTATCAAGGAATATTATTTTAAGTCTCAGTTGTCATTGACTTATGTATGAATTTTTTTATAATCTGATAGGAACAGAGCTTATAGAACTTTATATTAAAATAACATTACAAAATTATATAGATGTAATATATAATTACATTCTGAAAATACTGTATTATCTGTGAAGGATATACCTCATGATGTTGAAACTTATGCATAGTCATGTGTTTGCTGTGATCTCTTCAGAGTTTTGTTAGTGTATAATTTGTACCAGAGGTATGAACATCTTCCCTGGAGCTTTGCTTGCCATAATGTCCGTCCACTGATGCAGAGCATTTTTAATGCCTCCTTGTTGATAATTCCAAATCCTATGAGGTTCTTTTTAATGTATGCATATATATATGTATTATGGATTCAACAAGTGCCTGAAATGGAGTAAAGATGATTTTCCAGTTGTAGTGTAGTGAAGTCCTAGTCAATTATACACATACAGCAGGAACAAGACCAACTTGATCGCATTCCTGTTGTGTCTTTTGGCATAAAGATTTTTGTTGTTCCTGCCAAGGGTTTCATAATATAACAACAGTGTTAAGTTTGATATGTTTGGATTGATTATGTACACCCTTTTGACATTTATGTTTTCTCTTCCCCAGTGCAAGTCTTATTGAATTTGTTTTCCTTCAGACCTCTGTTAAATAAGAAAATGGAATCAACTGAACTTCTTACCAAACATGATTGCAAAGTTATATACAAGTTAAGAAAGCACTGAGCTATGATAAGTGAGACTTATGAGGTAGCGAGATGAAAGTTTTCTTTAATTAAATGTAATTACTTTACAGAATCTTGAAATCCTACAAACAATCCAGCTAGAACTAGAAGTGTATTTATTGTTGTCTTTTTAAAGACTGATCTATAACTACATATGAATTACCTAGAATAACATAACACTTTCTGGATTATTTGTTATAAAGATATCTTTTAGGACTTATTTATGATTCACCTGCCCTATATATGATATCACACACACCTTGAGAAATTCTAGATACCTGTGTAGATACTTGCAAGTGGTATCTATGGTAGCTGACATTGTAATTTCAGCTCTAATAAAGGCAGAAAGAATGGAACTGAACATTTTGTCTTCTTTTTCTGATTAAGTTCTGTTGTGAGTTTTAGTGTCAAAAAAAAAGGAAAATTTAATTAGAGGTGGAGGGACTCTCCAGAATCAAATGGTCTTCGAAACAATATACCATAAAAAGCTATAAACATTTTCCTGTCCGTACAAATAATACTGACCCAAATATTCTTTATTCACTTTGTTATCGTTCTAAAGTTATGTAACAGAAAATCAGTATTTTATCAAATTTTGATCATGTATTAATTGCAACATAAACTGTATACCCATCTTACGTAGTAACATTATTTGTTCCATAGAAAGCTGGTGCCTTGATCAATTTTGACCATGTAATGTGATTGTTATAGCCACCGTGGTCTAACGGTTAGAACGCTGGGCTTGTAATCCTGGGGTCTCGGGTTCGATTCCCGGCGGTGCCCGAATTTATAACTTTTGTCGGGCAAGGCCGTGGTCTAGGCAACACAGAGCTTTCCTCCAGGGGCTCCCAACAATTACTCCATTCACTCACAGAAGAAGGCAATGGCAAACCACTTCTGGATGATCTGCCAAGAACGTATATGAACAGGTCCCAGTCCGAGAAAAGGATGGAAGGATCCTGTTCATATGGACCTGTCGTCAGACAGAACACTAAATAAATATAATGTGATTGTTATAGATTTTACCTGGGTTTCCAATACTTTAATTGTAAGGTTTATATTATCTAAAATTTATATTATTTTGTAAAAGAGTAACTTGTGTGCCAAAATAAGCCCTTTAAATAAAAAAAACATGCATGCTCGGAATGCAATGAAGTGTCACATTTATATCTGCCAGCAGTACAGGTACATGCAATGTGTTTTATATCAAACTGGCAAGAACATGCATATGGAGGTTGGACATTCAATATATTAGGAACTTAATTAAAATCAGCGGGCACATTTTCAGATAAAGCATAACGTGTTTACAGGAGAGTAAGGAGCTTAAATGAATTGATAAATGTAACTGGTATAGTAGTTTGTGTACGGTGTCATGACCCAATTTATAAGCCCTGTAGTCACGGACCGAACGTCTATAGCTGGCTTGTGATAAAACTCAGATCGGAGTTTCTCCCTGGATACTCATCTGCATTATACTCTGTCCATTTTCTGTTAGGTCTTATTCATGCGGGTAATCCGATCCTGGTAGGTTATCTATGATCCTTGTATCTGTAGATCTCATTTTAAGTCTGCTTAAAAGTATCCTAAGTAGATTATCTATGATGGTTACATGTGTAACGTACCACACACGACTAAATCAATGACAGCGTTACTGAACCTCTGGTACACGAACTAAGTAAGAAAATCAGAAGTTAATATTAACATACATAACAGTTGCCCCTGAACGCATTTGGTTAGCGGTACATTTAATGTGTTAAATTAGAATTAGTGGTACGCCCAGCGAAAAAGGTTGAGAACCCCTGGTCTGTGAAACAAATGGGTGGTTTTATTTTCTGTTTTTGCTTTTACTGAAAGGGATGAATGAATTATGATAAAACAGTATGGTCTTTTCCACCACGGAATATACATAAATGTCTCAACCCAGTATAACAAAGGCTTGTTACTGAAGTTCTACAATATTCTATTAATAAGTTGCACTTGTTTTTCAGCTGACATGTTTGCAAGAATGAGTACAAGTACAGTGACGGGAAATCAATTGGAACCCCATGGATTGTTTACATTGCTGAAACCTGGTTCACAGATTTGTAAAATGTGTCTCGTAGCAGAGTGTACAGAGTCTGGATATGTAGCTTATAAATCATAGAGGATACTGCGAATTTTGAAGTAAAGACAGTGGTTAGAAGCGGTGTTAAATTTTGCCTCATTTTGTATTTGTAGTCAGGCGTGATTGTCTTACTGTTTCAGTTTTAAAGTATGTTGTTACGTAGGAATTAATGACACAACAGTTGTAACGTAGTTAATAAGGTTATATTATAAGTAGGAATACGTTTAATATATTCCGGTAGTTTAATTTGTGAGAACAAATATGTCGGCTGATCGTATGACTCAAGCCAATATTGCAGGAATTCAGGTAAACATTGCGTATGGAACATGCGAGTTTCGGGTTAAATATATTTTTTCTCTTCTTGTGCATTACTTAGAGCTATCGTCATTGTACTTGAGAAGCTAGTAGGCCTAGAAATTACCCTCCTTTACAGACCCTGAAGGTTCATTACTGAGTTCACAGTATCCCAACGCTGGACCCTGTTCTTAACCAGATTAATCCAGTCCACAATCACCTCTTACTTCCAGATCCATTTAATATCTTTCCATCTACTCCTGTGGCTCTCAAGTGTTTTATTCCTTTAGGCTTTCACAGTTATCTTAGTTAGAATTGAGGTGGTAGGTTGAAAACCTCTATACCTGAAACAGTTCATCTTTATGTAGGATTTGAGGCTCTCACAGCAGTGAGTATGAAGATGACAGTCTTCTTGGTTATAGTGTCATGTAGTCTGATAGTCAGGGTGATTGCCCTGAGGATGGAGTCAGCAAGGACCTCAGAAATGTTGGTAAACTTCTATCAGATCACACGACACTACAACGTAGAAGACACCCATCTTTAGGTCATCTTTGTATTTGTGTTTGTTTCATCTTAGATTTATTTACACTTTTGCTGATTTATAGTTTTTAATCGTTTTAACTCTGTAGTAGTTCTGTGTATGTTATGATGGTAGATATGTTGGTATGAGTTTAATATTATTGTGTTCAATAAGCTGAATGTGTTAGATGGAGTTAGCATAAGTTATGTTGATTGAATATCAGATTAGCGGGGAAGTTAGAGTAGAATATTTACATCAGTCTAGTTCTTCCTTGCCCCTGAAAAGTCTTTTGAAATTATGTAAAAATGAATTAAGTTTGGGGATTATAATGGGTACTGTTAGCCCAGTTCTGTGTTACTAGATGAGTACTTAAACATTTCTTATAATATGCATGGATCAATGGGTAGACCAAAGTACTGTATTGGATTGAATATCTTGGTAAGGTGTATGACACACTGTGAAGTACCAGGGGACCATCTATCCTTTCTGATATTTTAAGTGGCAAATTCTCCACCCTTCTACTTACATCACTTTTGTTCTTCAGTAAGAAAGAGTATACAAACTGCAAGACACAAGTAACTGATTAAATATGAATACTTCTCCTGAGTCCCTCCACGTGATTGCTTGAATAGGGAATTTCTACCACATAATGATGAAATACTCTCAGGCTACAAGCCATGTCAGGTGGCTGAAGGGTGAACAAACCAAATGTTGGTGGCCCAGGAGTATTTCATCAACTCCAGTCATCACGAACACTTCACTTCATACTTTATTATTTATTTCCTTAGTTATCTTGCAACATCATAATTATGTATGAAGTGAAGTGTTAGCTTAGGAGCTTGAAAGTTGATTCCAGCAATGTAGACTTTGTTGTAATACCCAAGTAATTAGATTTGTAAAAGGCTTTGAGGGGAAGGGATGAATGAATGAAGGTTGTAGATGTTTGATATGTGGTTATATCAGATATAAGTATGAAAAGGAAGCAGAAGAAACCTGCAGACAGGGTGCTGATAAAATTTCATTTTTGTATACTTATTATTTAATTCTTGTTTTAGATTGATCTGCAAGAAAGTGATCATTATGAGGATATTGTAGCGTGCCCCCAAAGTACTAGATCATTTCATATTGAAGAGATAGGTAATTCAGTACAGGTAGACACTAGTAATGAGCCTCAGTTTGCAAATGTGCATGTTTGGAATAAAGTGGATCAAGATCCTGACATATCTCACACCAAACAGTTCAAAGGATATACTGAAGAGAATGAAGCATCAAAAATTAGGATTGAGACCAGAAAACATGAAGTTGAAGAGATGTCACCTGTGGATGATTCTGTTATATTTCAGGTGAATAATAAAATAATAATATATTCATTATTATTACCATTTTATTAACATTCATTTGTATGTAGGGATCACAAATATCACATAGGTTATGAGTTGAGAGAGTTAAAGGAATAATTTGTGCCATTTGAGGTACTTTCCCACTACACATACACACTTGTCCAATTCCATTAAATTAATCTCTAAAAATGACAGTGACCCACATCTCCTATGAGAAGAAATGAAAATTTTGGTCAGATATTAACCAACCTTGTATATTAATAGAAAGAATGAATTAACTATTTGACAGGCTGACCATATGATCAACTCTCTGGAAGCAGAGCCTGAAAATTAAATACTTTTAAGACCAGAGCCCACCATTGAATGTAACATGTATGAACATTCAGTCCTCACAATCATTCTTTCTAAGATCAATCCATGCCGTTATTCTCCAATTTCCTCTGCCCTTTTAGGTGTCTGATTTCCAAGATGTTTCCCCACAAACATTTTTTGTCTCCCCATGCAGGCTTTATGTTTAGCCAATTGTAGCAGCCTTGATTTCACTATCTTAAGGATACCAGATGAAAAGTGATTATGAGCATCCAGAATAAAATTTGTGAGGATAACTGCAGGTAACATGCTGTTTGATCATAAACAAAATAAAGACATCTGAAGAAGCTTTAAAAATTCAGTCACTAGTTTGTATACTATTACCAAACTAATTGGTAACAACATGTAAGAAGGATGAAAACATCAGAATACCAAAACTGATTGTAGTGTACAAATGTAGGAAAGAGAAGTTTGGGAAGACCACTGAAAAGATGGTATGGAATCATAACAGGTCATAGGTTTAATGCCTGACAGGAGGAGGATAATGATGGTGAACACTACCTGATGATCTATATTAATCACAAGCTCCTCATTATGTTGTACGATCCAGTAGTGTTCATTTTATCTGTTATAGATTAAAATATTTTTTCAAGGATTGTTATTGTAAATATACAGATTAATAAAGATGATACTGGAAATTACTACAGCAACAATTTTATAACTTTGATGACTCTTCCTTATTCGAAATAGAAAAAGAATTCAAGAATACCATAATTTTACTTACCTGGCAACTTAAAAAAAAGAACAAAACTTTTGTTGAAGGTGGATCGCAGCCAAATTGAGGAGGCGCAGCTGTCTGATGAAGCTGCAGAACTTCAGGTGCTTGGATTGTCAGTTTATGATCAGGCTACATTGGAAAAAGGAATCATTCAGCAGGTGGATCAAGCTTTGGAGCAACTTGATCGACAACAGCTGGAGGTACAGATGAAGACTGTTGCAGATAAAATTATGTAAGTTTATATTTTCATCAGGTAATTATAACAAAGCTTTCTCCTTTCTTGTCTGTCCTACCATAGATCCTCCGCTTGTATATTTGTTTGCTGTTTCTGTGCTCTGTTTTCTACATGTTGTCACAGTTGTCTCTCCAGTAGTCATTATTCTCATCCATAGTCATTTGACATCTTTATGTTTTATGATTTCAAAGGAATCATGTTTTTATCCATTTGTATTGCTTGAGACTTCTTCCATAGTTCTTTGAAACCTTAAGGTAGCTTTTTTCAAGTTTCCCTTTGGTCTGTTATGCAAAACTCACACTGTTGTGTGACCGTTTATGCCTGAAGTGTTTATTTTGGATATGTGTTCCATCACAATTTTTGGGGCACCAAGAATGTTCCTTGGAGATAACAATTTTTGGAACATTGCTGTAGATGAAAATTAAATCCCATCAATAATGTTTTGTATTTGCCTGAAATATTAAATTTAATGCAAAAGTATTTGACCAAAATGGTGTTTTTTGTATGTAGGAATGATGGACATTGGCAGTAATTTGTGCTTTTCTACAAATTATAAACTTGGAACCAAATATGAAGTTCACTTTAGTGCGATTGAGACTGTTCATATGTCTTTATTAATAAATTATGATCCATATGTAATTAATTTCTGAGAAAACCTTTGTAGAACTATTGTAGAAAGTGGAATGATGGTTTCAATAAGAAAAAAGACATCTGCACAAATTCACAAGCTTTATTTGAATCCACAAGAACAAAAGTTTTCTAATATTTTGATAACCACTAGAAGCATGGGCTGTTAAATGCAAGCAAAGACACATGAATGATACTTTGAAATACATTTCTTTTTGCTGTTTGTCTCCAGGACCTGTAAGCAAGAACTGAGAAAATCAGAAACAATCCTGAAAGCTTTGAAAGTAACAGGAATTTCAAGTGAGAAGCAGGCTGTGTCAGTGAGGAAGAGTGTTGAAACTGGGCATAAGGAGTTAGTAGCATTGAAAGATCATGCAGATCTCTTGCAACAAAAGTATACTAATCTGACTGGAGGTGGTAGTATTGTAAGTTTGATTTTAGTTGAGTGTTGTTTTGGTGTCAATGAGGCACTGAAGATGTATTTTAAGCCAGTGAGGATCGATAATTTGCTTATTATGATAAGATGGTTTATAAATGATGTTTTCTATAGCTAAACTGTATTGCATGCTCAGCCATGGCATCCCATTATCCTATAAGGGATTCTCAAGGGTTCAGAAGATAAATGATTTTAATTATGTATGTCAGTTTGGTTACCAGGCTGTAGAAATCTAAAATTTGGTTTTATGAACTTATGCTTTATATTGTCTGTAAGTGCCAGGAAAGTCCACATTACCATATACTGCTGCTAATTTGAGACTGTTTACTAAAGAAACAGAGTTGCAGAACCTTCTACATAAATTTATTGATTATGAAATATTGTCCAATGGAGAACTTTATAGAGAAGGACCAACTTAAGATGAGATTTAGACATTTCTCCATCTTGTCCTCGTCGTCGTCGTTGTTGTTGTGTTTTAATGATTTACACTGTTGAAAATTTACATATATTGTTTTACCACATAGTCATTTCACAATTCTAAACTTGTTGACGGATGTGTTGTTAGGTCACCATGACTCCAGATGCCACATCAGGAAAAGATAAGCAGCAGGAGAGTGAAAGAGAGCATAGAATAAGATTGGGAGAAATGACTCCATTTGGAAATGTTCTTGGTAACCGGTTGGCAACCACTGGCAGGTAAAATTGTAATTTTTGTTCACACATGTGTTTAATACAGAGGCTGAATGCTGTCTTTTCTGCTCATGTGTTGCAGTGATAGTCACACACATTTATTTGCATAAAAAGAAAATGTTCTTTACAACATACAATAAGGTAATATATGTATAAAATGGAAAGAATTGATAGTTTAATTCCATATGCATGTGCTAGTAGTCACAATAAGTTTATGATTTCAGTGGCTTAACACATTTTCATATATTTCTTATCTTACAAGTAGCTGTACAATATTCGGCTGTTTAGGGTTGGATTTAATTGAATTTAGTTACGTTGTGTTAGCTTGGGTTAGATTAGGTGCAATTAGTGATGTGCATACACAGTCAAACATATGTATGTGCGCAGAAGACTATGCAGTATGCAGCTGCTAACAGACAGATTTAGTTGAATTTGGTCAGGCTGGGTTAGGTGAGGTGAGGTTAGGTTAGTGACACTTATGTGCAGTTGGCTATGTGCGCATGCGCAGACAACCATGCACAATATTTAGCTGTTAAGGGGTGGATTTAGTTGAATTTTTATGTTGAGTTGGGTTGGGTTAGGTTTGGTAAGGTTAGTGACACATGAGCAGCACATGCACAGACAACGGTACACAATATTTAGCTGTTAAGAGGCAGATTCTAATTGGTCAGCCAGATTGGAACTTAGTCCACTTCTTGATTGAACAACTAGTTCAAGTGAGAGCAATTCCTCTTCTATTGGTTTGCCACAGATGAGTAGAAATAGGGTGTGAGGTAAACCAAAACACCCTCAATGGAAATTTTCACTGATTTGGGTTGCCAGCCCATGTTCTTTGTGAAATATAAATTTTAAAAACTGATGTCCTTCATAACTTAGATATCTTAGGGAAACAAGCTGTGGCATGGTCCACGGACTTGTGCAGCTACAATGTGAATCATAAAGTTCTTTATTATATAGTATCCCCTTCCTTCTTCTGTATTAGGCCAAAATATATGAAATAAGTAAAGGTTAATGTAATTGGTTCACTTGTTAGTTTATATCATGTACCATAACAAGTCAGCTTCTCCCCTATAAAGCTAATTAATTGTAATTCCTAACGTCTGTAGAATCTTACATTCTACCTTTCCACAAACCATGTTTTTGAGCAGTAGTCCCAGTTGATCGTAACTACTTGGTGCTCAATGGTATACCACCTGCTCTCTGTTCCAGTCAGTCCACCAGAGGTCTCACAGAATTTGAGAAGTACCTGGAAAGTCAAGCAGAACTTCAGAAGAAGCAGAAGGGTGGTATCAAGAAAATGAAGCTAGTAAAGGCTCATGCAATTGAGAAAGAAGTGAGTGTAAAACTTCATGGTGAGGCTGACCAGAAAAAAGGAATTAAAAGAAATTCACCACTGAAGAAAAGTATCCTACTGCCAAAGAAACGACCCAAAAAGGAAAAATTTGGCACAAATTCTAGCAATGATTGGTGGCAAGTATTGTGTATAGTTAACATCACTGATTTGTGAAGTAATTATTTGTTATTAAAACTATCATTTATTGATGTTTACATCAGGGTGAGTTGTCTCCAAGCAATTAATTTTTTTATTCACAGTCTTCACATAAGAATACCTTCAGGATCAGTGTCCACTCTTTTCATACTCCCTTTAGTGTATCTTTGCCCACTTGGTTTCTCTGTCTAGTCCTGGCTCCTGAAATGGTTGTTTATTCAGCATCTTAATTATGATTCTTTCAAAGGAATACTTTTATTGTCTATACATTGTCATTAATGTACTTAGAAATTGTAATGTAAGGCCATTTTATCAGTCACTGACACACATACATGCACACTGAGACACAGAATTTACATAATTGTGAAGTTGCATGAAATTTTATCCCTGTAAACTGGTTCTGTGATTTGTATGAATACCAGTGTGTTTAACATGTAGAAAATTGTCATTGAATTAGATTAAATGTTTAATGTATTCACTTATCTTACAAATTTTTTAACTTGAACAATTTCAGCAATGAAATTAATTGTATAACAACAATAATAATGGTACAGGATCCCTTTCCAGTGTTAAATTTAGGTTTTTCCGTTATTTTGATATCAGTTCTCTATTTTAGAAGTAAACTCCACTTAATTTTACAGTTTTCAAGTGTTAGTTGAGACTGACTTTTTTCCTTCCAAAATTGCAATTTTATTGATAGGCGGTACTGCTTTGTACTACTAAGTAAATATGATTCTAAGAGGTTTATTATAGTCACCAGAAAAGTATGTAACTGCATTTATGACTCTTTATCTGCGAAGTACAGTATTTCTATGTTTGTGTCCATGTCTTTCTCAGTGTATCAGAATTTATGATTCCCCTGTTCCTCAGTGTAGTCTGTTATGGTCCAGTGGGAGCATGTGTCAGAGGAAGCAGTATTCTGGTTATTTAGTTAATATGAAATTAAGACTTTTTTAATAGGGATCAGAAGAAGAAGCCAGGCAAACTTATGTCTGAACAGACAGCCCTTGAAGACAGTGAGGGGAGTGAGTACTTGCCATCGGAGAGTGAGCTGGAAGAATTGGGGAGGAAGGGTATGTGGCATTTCTTGATGTTTGTTTCTTTAATCAAGTTTGACAGGACACTGGATTGTTGTTATAATGTTTTCTAGGAATGAAAGGATGTGTATTCCTGTTATGACTTGAATGATTTTATCCTGTGTTGGTGTAATATATATACTTTTATTTATTTATTTATTTTGATACTTAGGTAATCATAGAATATGAAGGCATGAAAACAAGTAAAAATGTTAGGAAACTTACAGACACATTCTTAAAACAAAGTACCAACAGTTGTGATATTAAAAACTCAAATCCATTAAATTTAATGTTGGTATAATATACTTTATCTTTTATTTTTAGCTTGAAACTTACAGTAAATATCTGAAGACCCTAAAATTTATTACATGCAGTTTTGTTTTGTTTACTTTATTTGTAGTTATAATTTTATTTAAAAGTGTACTCCTATTAATTTCATAATATTTTATGCCTCTGTTTCCATTATATAAAAACTAAAAACTAAATAAAACAGTAAATAATGCATTATTTTGAATGGATTTGGAACTTACCTCTTTCTCTAAGTACAGGTGTTGGGAATATTTTTAACTAAAGGAAGAATAGAATGAGGTTATATATGAGGATTTGTACCTTTAATGTAATGTTATTTGAATTCTTTCAGAATAAGTTATTTGATAGATTTTTGCAGTATGAATTGTGTTATATTAGCTGCTTTATAGTACATAAACAGTTCCTTTTCTTAGAGTGTGGCAGGCATGTAAAGGTACCAACAAAGAAGAGAACACCATCAGGGAAACACAAGCAACGGCAGGACTTACAAGAATGGGGGACAGATGATAGTGACTGGGATTACTCTGATGAGGAAACAAGAGCTAAGCGGCGCAAAAGCAGTAAGTGTCATTTCATTGATCTCATCACTAGTAAAGGATTATTAAATAATTTTGGGTTGGCATTGTGAGTAGGTTGGGGATTCAGAAGGCCCTCTTTGAGAAGATGCCACATATAGACAGGAGTTCCCAAGAGCACTTTATCCTAACCTTACCAACCCTGGCCTATTGTAGGTAACCATTTAAATATGTTTTTTACTGGTCAATTATAAATCATACAGGAGCTTGTGAATTAAGAAATAAATACTCATGAGTCAAAGGATTAATAGCGATGAATACAAATTGTTTTTGTTGTGTCCTCTGCAGGAAAGAAAGAGATTGATGATGGTAATATTGAAGACTATAATGAGCGACTGAAGCTATGGGAAGAACAGAAAGCGAGGCAGACTGAGCCTGAGGAGATGGGTGGCCATGAAATAGGAGGAGGATACAAGTTGCCTAGGGATCTGTGGTCTAAGCTATACAAGTAAGTGAAACAAATGTTATAAATTTTAGTTCCCTTTCATTACTGTTTGAAGAGAAGTCCACTTTCCAAAGTCAAGATTAAATGGACTAGATTTTGGTGCAGATAGGTTTAATCTTTCATTGTGAAAGGACATGCTATGTATACCTGACATTTTTCATGAGTCCGAGAGGGACATGTACATGTCTGTTATACAGCTTTTGTTTTTATGATACTCTGTGTCATAATTTCTTAACAACAAGAATAGTATTTATATCAGAACATATAAGAAAATGTTGGATGTGAATTTAAAAATTAGTACCAGAGGCATTACAGTTCTTGAAACATGAGATAGTTCACTTTGACTCTTTAATATTGGAGACAAATGTTCCTCTTCCTTCACTAAAAATGATCTCACTTTGAAGGATTGACAATACATATTCAAATGTGTGGACATGTATGCACACATAGCACTGATTTCTCATTGGGAAAATAGTTCTGAATGTCTTATTAAAACAGTAACTTGCTAAAGTTTGTTTGTAAATTAGGACATAGTGAGATCAATAGTATCTTGGTTTAGTGTAGATGTTACCATGAACAAAGCAACCAGTTTATGGATATGCTGTTCCTTGAACAGCAGGTACTATAGTTAGCTGATGAGAAATTCCTTGTTAAAGAACCCAAACATCATCATCTTAACAGAAGTCTGTCATTTGACATTCAGCAGGTCAGCCTAGGTTACATCTTCTTTTCTTATATCTCTGATATTTGTTCAAACAATATTGTCTGTCTCCCAAGTGGTATATTCCTATGAATTTTGGAGAAAGAATTTTGTATGCATTATACTGTTTATTATCGCAGACTTTAATTATTCATAACCACTTGGAAGACTAAGGGAATAGGAGGGTACTATTAAAATTAAATATATGGGACTGGATAGTGGTGATAGGTACTGGACTGAACAGGATCCGGACATATTCAGTGGCAGGCTGTGTTACTATTATTTATGGTACCAAATCTTTAGTTTCTCTCTCAAAACTTGGAATATGTATGTAGTTTTGTAGATATTCATGTGTTAGTTTTTGTTGCTTTCAGTTACCAGAAGGTTGGAGTGCAATGGCTTTGGGAACTAAACCAGCAAAGGTGTGGGGGCATCCTGGGAGATGAGATGGGTCTTGGCAAAACTGTGGAAGTTATTGCGTTCCTTGCTGGACTCAACTATAGCAAACTGCTGTCTCGCCATGGCAGGTTAGTGTGCTCTCATTGAAAATTTACTCAGGACTGGGAGGAAGCAAGGAACTCAGCCTCACTTGTTTCTTTTTAGCTTTAGAGGAGTAGGACCAAGTCTCATTGTGTGTCCCACCACAGTGATGCATCAGTGGGTGCGGGAATTCCATTTATGGTGGCCATATTTCCGAGTTGCTGTCCTGCACGAGTCTGGCTCCTTCAATGGTGAGGAAAATCTTTCCATGCATTGTAATTGCAAATTTTTTGCACTTCTCATGCATTCAGTTACATTAATTTTTAGATTATATTTCATAAATGTCTGTGTCTAAGCTTATTGTTAACTTTGCTATTCTGATGGTATTTCATATTCAATAGTGGGAAGAAGGCAAATATAGTGGGATCAAATAACCCTGTCACACTATGTGCACATATGTCTTTATACTAATGGGAGTTGCTGTTCTTAGACAAAACTTCATTATTATATGGTTGACCCATCTTAGTGCTGGTTTTCATGGTACTGATTAGTATCTATATTTGTAGGTGTTTCTATCAGCATAGTGGTTTGAAATGTATTGATGAAATGGCAGTTGTGTGGGTAGTGGCTTAGTTTGAAGAAGGTAGTAATGGTTCAGTTTATGTCTTCTCTGTCATGGCAGTTTTATGGCTTGCACAAGATTTAGACTGGGGAATGTGTAGCATGCAGATGTTGCAAGAAACACACATTTGTTTGCGGAACCTTATAGGAGGATACTTAAGAGGTCCAGTGATAGAGGGGATAAAGAGACTGTGAAGATGTGAACTGTTATACTGGCTGAGGATAATACAGGTGGCAGGTTTTGTGTTGAACCTTATTGTTTCATAATGAGGATTTTTTTTAATGAGCAGGCTGAAGCTTGACTGCACAATGAATACTATACTCTTCAGTTTTTATGACTGAGTGAAAAATACCTTGATGGATGTTTTTGACTTTTTTTAATAATGTTATGAAATGGTCTTCTCATTGTGTGGAATGTGACTCTCACAGGAAAAAAGAAGTCATTAATACATCAAATGAGTTCTGTTGGATGTATTCTGGTGACATCATATGTGGGTGCTGTGCAGCACCAAGAGACCCTGCTGGCCAGGGATTGGCATTATGTAATTCTTGATGAGGGCCACAAGATTCGCAACCCTGATGCTCAGGTAGGCATAAAAGAGATGATGTTATTTGATCATTATATATGCCTTGTGTTCAGGGAAGACATGGGATGAAAGGAATTAAATTGGTAAAAATATGCTTCCTTCTTCCCCTCTTTGTCTTCTTCAAAGTACTGAACTTTATGACCGATTCAAAGATTTGCATAAGTGGGCCTTTGATCTCTTTTAATGGTCTTCCCAATAAATGTTTTCTGCAATCTGGTATGCATATATGAATGTAATAGTAATTAAGTCTAAGAATTTGAAGAAAATTTGTCTGCTTTCAGTTGTAACTCTAATTTGTACCCTTTCTAGTAACTATTTTTATAAAATCCTTGTAATTAAATTTATTTAGTGACACAAATTAATAACTCCCGTAAATGAAATAAGCAATGTAATATGCAAAACATCAAGTTAGAAGTGTCTTTTGGAAAAATTGTGTATCTGTCTGCTGTAAACTTAATAAATGTGAGTTGCAATACTTAATTTCCAAGATGTATGTGCTCAATTTGTATAGTTTATGGACTTGCTTCTCTTCCAGCTAGGTGAAATTTTTGTTTATTGTACAGGTGACATTGGCTGTAAAACAATTTCGTACACCCCACCGGCTCATCCTCTCTGGCTCACCAATGCAGAACAATTTGAAGGAGTTATGGTCACTGTTTGATTTTATCTTTCCTGGAAAACTGGGTACTTTGCCTGTATTTCTTGCTCATATGGCTGTCCCAATAACTCAAGGTGGCTATGCTAATGCTTCAGAAGTTCAGGTATACTATGATTCACTATTCTGTCATTTTAGAAAACCTGGTTACAGTGTGCTATGTTAATATTTGAGGAAGTGATACATTCCTTTTAGGATGGAGACACATTTGATGAAGCTGAAATTTACACATGCAGAAATAAAATCCAGACATTACCATTTGTGGACTTATGTTAAATGTAGTCTACATTTCCTATATCTAAAACCTTGTTTCCATTTTGAAGGTCCAAGTTGGAGGGTGATGAAATATTTAAAAACACAAATCTCACACTGGAGTCACTCTTCACTAAATATTATGGTATTAAGAATAAAGGATGATGAAGGGGATTGGCATGTATTATGCACAGGGAGATGAGAAATGTGTACAAAATTTCAGTCAAAACCTAAAGGAAAAATATCACTTGGGAGAACTAGGTGTAAATGGGAGGAAAATGTTAAAATTGATTTTGAAGAAACAACATATGAAGCTGTTGACTGGATTCATCTGTCTAGGATAAGGTTCAGTGCCAGGCTGTTGTGAACATGGTAATGAACCTTTTGGTTTCATAGAAGATTAGAAATTTTTTGACCATTTGGGCAACTATCTGTGGGTCTAGGACATTTCTTCATGGAGCTTATTCCAGTGCTGGAGCAGTTATTTATGCTTCTCAGTTCTCAAAAGTGAGATATTTAAGTTACTTGTCTCCTACTGGTACAGGTAGCAACAGCATATCGATGTGCTACGGTTCTGCGAGACACTATTGCACCCTACTTACTGCGCCGCATGAAAACTGATGTTAAATCTCATATACATCTCCCACCAAAGAATGAACAGGTATTTAGCATCATGTATCCAAACTTGAATATTTAACACTAGAATTCTTTGTAGTTATAAATCTCCAGGTATTGATCAAATTCTAGCAGATTTAATTATATATATTTGTAAATGTTCTAAGAGAAACTGGAGTCAGGTTGATTTTATTGTTTTTCCAGGTGTTGTTCTGCCGGCTGACAGAAGAACAACGAAGTCTGTACAAAAGCTATTTGGATTCTGATGAAGTAGGGCGAATTCTTCAGGGTCGATTCCAGGTCTTTGTAGGGCTAATTGCTCTTCGCAAAATATGCAATCACCCAGACCTGTATTCAGGGGGACCAAAATTACTTCGTGGGGTAAGACCAGTTCCTTTCATTTATGGTAATCTATTTATCTTCAGTAAGCAGTAAAACTGTGTTCATAAGTTAAATTACCAAAAACTAGATTTAAAATTGGCAGGTTCTTATTAATCGTCAGTAGGAGAACATACCAGCTCCATCTTTCTTTAGCTTGTTCCAAGCTATAGTAATTATATCAGTAATATTTAATATTCTTGTGCCCCCTGTCAAACTGTTGGTGACATTTGGGTATAATGTCAGACTGAGTTTGACAGACTTAAAATGAAAAACATAAAATTGGGTCTGGTAGTGTGTTACATGTCCAAAATATGAGTCTCGAGTAGAGGTCCCCTGTTTAAGTCATTGACATTCATAGAATCACATTTCTGTTCAACATGGGACTGTATTGAGTTTTACATTTCACACAAAATTATTTTGGTATTGTTAAAATATTTTTACCTCAAAAAGATACTGTCTGCATTTGCTTGAAAATAAGACAAGCTGATGATGTCTGTAGAACAAGGCAGGGATTATGGTTGACATGGAAAGGAAAGTAGGGAAAAAAATTAGTTTTGCAAGAAGGATGTGGCATAATTTTAAAAGCCCTGATAATTATTATATGGAGGAGAGTGATACAATAGGACAAGCTGCAGTGTGTTTTGTTTGGTAGGTACAATATGATATTGTACTGTATGTTGCAGGATAGAGAGGAGGACCTGCCAGAGGAGAGTCGATATGGATACTGGCGCCGTGCTGGTAAGATGTTGGTGATAAAATCACTGCTGAGCATTTGGCAGAAACAGGGTCACCGTGTGCTGCTTTTTACACAGAGTCGGCAGGTCAGTTATAATTTTTTACTTGCTTAAAATATTGTAAATGTTGTCCTTATATATACTGTATTCTAATCACTCTTAAAAATTATAGAGGATGAGCAGAAAAGTATCTTTACAAGTGTCAAGGCAAATTCCAAACACAGTGACATTACAAGTGGTCTGGATCCTCCTCATACATGCTATCTACATGCAGTAGAATTGTTCAGTTGTCATTAGACTGTTGGGCATGATAGGTCTCAGAGAAGAGTATGGAAGGTTTTGAAGTGGGTAAATGGATCATTTAATGAAGCTCCCAACATAACTTTTTGCTGGTATCTGGGGAAATTGGTTATGGAAATGATGCAGAAACTTCTGGTGTTGTATTGTGAACAGATGATGTAACAGTGTCACAGGTTCAAGAATAATTTTTAATTGCATTGTACTTTGATTATCTTCAGATGCTACAGAGAGTTGCAGAGGAGGTCAGAATTTCATTTAGTAGTTGGCAGATAATCCTGTTTAGTGATTTTGGTACATTGTGTCACTCGAGAAATGTTTGGAACAGCTATATGTCTCAGCCTTAGACACTTCAGAACTTCAGTGTGGAACACAGCATGATTGAATCCTGTACAGTTTAGATTATCAATGGTTTAGACTTATGTTTCTCATCCAGATTGATCTATCTTCAGTCTCAGAAACTGACCTCTCAGAGCCAGTCCACATGAATTCTTCAGAATCAGAATTAAGTGGCAGCTAACCTATTGCTTCTGAAATGCATCAAAATGTTAATTTTGCATCCTCAGTTCACAGCTGTAGGCCTCATGGGTAACATAGTACTGTACTCATAAAGTGGATCCAGTTTATGTGCACTAAAATCAACATGTTTAAACAAGTACATACTCAGGTGTATTGATCAATAATAACTGCATTCAGAAACTGTCCTTATAGCAGCAAGATTAAAACTTATACTTGCAGAGCAATTGGAAAATCAGCCACCAATATTAAGGAAAGGGTTAAACATTTTGTCTAATAATGTGTAATTGAAATTGCATGTTATGTTTTGTTATGCAGAAAAATTTAATCTTATTTAGAAGCTTGCTTTGTCTTTTTTTGTGTGTACTTACTGTAATGCCATTGTAAACATGTATATGTCCATAGGATTGGAAGGAACAGTTTTCCCCAGTTTTATACTTGAGATAATTAAAAGATTCTAAAGATGTCTCTGTGAACTGCTTGCCTCTTGATCTTAGGTAGATATACTAGCCACAAATTTTTAGAATATATCATTTCTCTTTCAGATGCTGTGTATCTTGGAGGCATTTGTACAGAAGCAGGGCTACAAATACCTGAAGCTGGATGGTGGGACAGGCATTGCTTCACGACAGCCCCTTATCACCAGATTTAATGAGGTTTGTTAGACATCATTTTTTTAGGACTCCAAAGTTGTCTGTTCCTTTCAAGTTTTCTAACTTACGTCAGCTGTCTTAGGCCTTACATTCAAATTACATTGAACATCTGTAATTGGACAGATACAATCATACATGCAAAGTACCTTCACATAAAACATGGTGCTTCTTGTGTTTGATTTGCAATGAATTGCATGTAAATCAAGTATTTCTGTGACTGGTATATTGGACAGGAATACTATAAAAACAAGAATGGAAAGAGAGAAGTGGCATATTTTTAAAATTTGTTTTAACTTTTCTTGAATTAATTCTTCCTTTACTTTATTCAATAGAAGTAGACATCCTTAACAAAGAGAATACATATGAAAAGATATAAATTTAATGTGAATGAGTAGAACGAAACAGGGACACCGTCATTATAAGTGTCAGTAGACAATGCAGATGAAACATCAGACTGATTGCTTTGTCTTGTCTTGCTTGTTAACAGTGTCCTAATGTATTATGTTGCAGGATTCATCATACTTTGTTTTCCTGCTTACAACACGTGTGGGTGGTCTAGGTATCAACCTGACAGGAGCAGACAGGGTGGTGATCTATGACCCAGACTGGAATCCAGCCACTGACACTCAAGCTCGGGAAAGGGCATGGCGTATTGGGCAACAAAACCATGTGACTGTGTATCGACTGGTGACTGCTGGCACCATAGAAGAAAAGGTGTGTGCATGTATATGTTGTCATACCTATGGTAATCTTCACCCTTTTCTTTTGATGCTTCTACTTTGTATTGGTTGTGTTGTAGAAATATATGGGATTAATATACTTGGAACTCTTTAAGAAATTTTTAATAAATTTTATCACCTTGGCATGGAGTATGTGATACTTCAGATATTTGAAATGGTCTTTCTCTTCATTTGATTCTCATTGTTTTAGGTGTATCATCGTCAGATCTTTAAACAGTTTCTTTGTAATAAAGTGCTTTGTGACCCACGTCAGCGTCGTTTCTTCAAGTCTAATGATCTCCTGGAATTGTTTACACTTGCTGAAAGTGAGCAAACCACAGAGACTGCTGCAATCTTTGCAGGCACTGGCTCAGAGGTAAATGCTAATATGTACTGCAGGGCACTGATCACTACAGCAAATGATTTATTTATCAGTAACATGCAAAAACTGATTCCCATTTGTGCAAGATTGTGTTTCGTCTTGTGACACAATGTCTTATTGCACTGTTGAAATGACAGTAAAACTGGGAAACTGCTTGCTACCATATCAATGTTTTAATCTTCTTATTGACCTTTGCAACTTTCTGTGTGAAATAAAACAGTAAACTGGTACTGATTGGAACCTGATAATCTATTGAAATCAAGTATTTTAAGAAAAGACACAGTAAAAAGACATGAAATAATTATGGTATTTTATCTGAAGACTTAGAAACCAGACAAGCCATTAGACCAGTTTAAAAATTTGATATCAAAAACATTTCTTTCCCACTGTGAACAACTTTGACATGCTAATACACCATATTCCATATCAGTCACTCAGTTTTGTTAGTTCAACAATAGTATGAACTGCAGGAGAGAGAGATAGGAGGGTAGCCTAACAGAGGGGGAACAGATTCTCACCAAAAGTAGGGGTGGATGTGACATCTTCATTCTTAGTTCACATATTTTCCAGGTATTTAGATCCACTGGATATGCTGTACATTCAACAGTTAAATACTAGATGTTATTGTTTAGGTCTGGTAATATAACTATGATCCTTTGTGACAAGATAATAATATTAGTTCTGTTTCAGGTAAAATTGACACCTAAGAAATCAAAATCATGTGAAGGAGAAAAGAAACTTCACCAGAAGACTATACATAAAGAGTTGGGAAGTGTGAAATTTTCAGCATCAAAGCTGGAACGCATGAAGCGTTTGGCACAGCTACTTAGTAAGCAGATTGCTTCAATCAGCAAACAAGGTGAATTACAGTCTTTCTGTCCTGTATCTGTTCCTTTTTTAAGTTGCTTGGTTTTCAGTTATTTGCAAAATGTATTTGATTTTGAAGTTTTGCTAATGGTATTTTCTTGCTATAGCAACAGTGATAACAACACCATTATGATTGCCACTACCACACTCCTGCTTCATATTCAGAAGGTCTTGGGTTCAAATCTCGGCCTGGAAACCAGCTATCCTGACTGGGGTTTTCATGGTTTTCCTTAGTCCTTCCAGGCCAATGCCAGGATAGTACCTTTAATTAGGTCATGACCACTTCCTTTCTAAATCATCCTTACATTCGACCTTTATAGTCTGAGGTACTGATTAAGAATTATTAAATAAACTACATACTACACACACGCACATCACCTTCATCCATTTTAACCCATGTTGTCCCAGGATACAAAGGCCTTCTCAGTTGCTTTTAACCTTCATTGAATTATCATTACCTTCTCCATCACTTTACACCTCACTACCCTCAACTCCAGTCATCCACTTCTACCAGTTTTCCCATCACACTCATTCATCATTCCCACATTTGTACCACATCCTACCCCAGATCTCATATTCATTACTTCTTTTCTTCCTGCTTCCTTCCTTCCAAGTTAAGAGTCTCAAAAATTTCAGCTTGATATCCAGTCGAGTCAAGCCCACTCACTCACTCACTACAGGCAAGTTAATGAAGACCAGTGGCAAATATAAAAATATTTTTGTGTATCCTATTGTGAGGCTATAGATTACGTTAGTAGATGTAAGTAATGTTTTTATAGCTTTGATTGGAAGTATTCAAAATCTGAGGGATGAACTAAGGGTTGCATTATGTAGTATGTAGGTGAGCATTGGCCTCTTGTCCCCACTTTCATTGTCCTTGAAATGTTATTACTCCTAATGTATTATAAATGAGTAATAGCATTAACAGTGGTTTAATTAACCACTCTTTAGTCTTCTGTTTTCCAGAACCATCTTGTAAGGAGAGACGAGACATGATTGGTAGCAGTGATGAACTACTCTGCCACCCTTGTTGCACAGATCCAGCCAAGGATGTGGCTCATACATCTGGAGCAAATAAGAATGTGTTCGAACTGACGACACAGATTATGCCAATTGAAGAATGTGGTTCTGGTGAGAGGAAAACTGTGAGTGAGTCAGGGACTGTTGAGAAGGATGAGCGTGTTGCACAATATGAAAAGTATACAAGAATAGAGATGCCCAATGAACACTTTATGCAGCAAGAAGTTGTGAAAGATCTTTCTGGGACAAAAGATAACTTGGTTATGAAGAACTCAGAGCTAAAGCAGAAGGCTCATAATAAAGGAGCAGTTAGGTCCCATCAGCATGGGAAGAAATATCACAAGAGGAAGCATTCACATAGAGAAGAAAAAGGTGCAATGTTTGAAGGAGAGAGGGTGTCTTTCTTGGTGGGACAATGTGAAGCAAAGGAAGGATTGTCCTTAGCTGACAGCGGAGAACAAAGCTCTCGGCAGGAGGATGACTATGTGCTGCGTAAACTGTTCAAGAAATCTGGTGAGTCTTTCACTTGTAAAATTCATTCATGTGCCTTGGTTTGTTCCATTATAAGTTGTATGTGAAACTGTAAAACATGGTGAAACCTCATTCAGATATCCACCACATTAAGATGTAATCTTTCTGCAGTTCACAGACATCACAGAAGATATGCACAGTGCTGAGTTTTAAGTTTACAATTTTAACTTTGATATTTTAGAGAAATTCCTAAAGCAGATTGAAGACAATGACGTGACCAAATGTTGCATATAACAACATAGTTGTAAGGCATCAAGGAGCATGATTAAACATTCCACTTTAATCAACTTCAGGATGGAAAATTGGATTTATATTTATTTTGTTTATCCCTAACATTCAGTATCAGATTTGGACAATCTTCAACCTGAAGAAGTATTCTAAGTTCAGAAGTGCATGTATGCATTCCAGAATTTATGCTTTATTTCAGTTGTTTAAATTGTGTTCTTTTTGAAGTATTGATTACCACATAGAATTTTTAAGTTTCATTCTTTTCCCTTGTAGGCTAATAAAACCAGAATAGTGAAGCTGCCTGATTTAAAGAAATTGGGAATATTGAGTGTTATTTTAATGAAAATGTTCAGTACATGTAATTTCAGTGCCCTACTTACAGCAACAGATTTAACTTTCCTGTACTTTAAGTGAATTTTGTGTATGTCATTGCAAATTTTGCTTAGCCTCTTGTACCCTTCTGTTAAGGGATACACTTTGCCCATGTCACTGCCAGGCCTTATAACCATATCTAAATGGCTGATATGGTAAGACTGTGTTTAAAGATTAAATTTGGCATATGAGGTAGATTATTGGTCTGTCCCTGTATCCACAAATCATTCTCATGTTTAGTTTACTAGGGTTTAAGGCTTTAGTAAACATAAGGTCTGTAGTTTGTAACTTTATCAGGTTTTTCTATCACACACCTCAGACTACACAACATAACCCACAAGCTTATAAATTAACTACCTCTGCTTTACATAATTGAATATAATAGAAGTAAAAACATTTGCTTTGAACAATTTAACTCCTTCCAAGGTATCCAAACAGCAATGAGACATGACTCCATTATGGAAGGAGGACATGCAGACTATGCTCTGGTGGAAGGTGAAGCATGTCGAGTAGCTAAGGAGGCTGTACAGGCATTGAAAATGTCACGACGGCAGTGTTGGCAGGCTGATACAGGTGTCCCATCTTGGACTGGTCAGAGTGGAGCTCTCCGTTCTCGTAACACTTCAGCAACCCAAGTTCGGTGAGAATCATTATTGGCTTGTATCTGATACTGTGTTGAATTTAATGTCTGTATTGTTTTGTTGTGATTACAATATTAGCATTATTTTATTTAGGACCTGTCCTACCAGGTTTCATATTGGACTACTAACTTAGAACATTACATGATATTTCAGGTATAAAATGATAATATCTATTCTCTGTAAGTTATCTTCAAAATATTATTTTCTGGCTTTCATTTTACAGTGGCTTAAAATGATGTATTGTTTATCTTATCATTGTGTGATTTATTAAAATAATAAGCAACATATTTAAATACTTATGACACTAACTATTTCTGTTAATCACAATGCTTTTTTCATATCAGCTTGCTAATTCACCAGTTTGCATTCGTCCAAGAACATGGATGTTTGTGTTTTCTCCATTGCTGCAACTTAACATTACTCATAGCTATTACTTCTGCAGTTTCATGGTTTTGTCCTGCTGTCCAGGTAAAAGCAGACTAGACATTGGTAATTCTGGGAGGCAAATACCCTGGTCTGTGAGATTACTTTCATCAGAGAAAATAAGCTAAAGTGTCTGATGTGGTTAATTTACTCCATAACATAGTAAAAGTGCTGTTAAATTTCAAATTAACTATAACATATTTTCTGAATGACATAAGGATCAAGTTGTTTCATAATTGAAGTACTGGTTTGTCTTGCATTAAGCATAGTAACCTGTTTGATCTGGCTTCAGGTTCACTACAGTTATAAAAACATTCTTCATGAGCAACTGACATTAAGTTTCATGCTTGCTAATTTTACAGACGTAGGTTTGGAAAGAAAAAGGCTGTCACAAGTCCTGTTAGTGTTCCTGAGAGTGAACCCAAAGCAAGTGCTTTTGATGTGAGAACTGAGGAGCCCATGACATCCAGTGAGCTGCTGTCACGAATGCGGGCCCGTAACCGCCTTCTGGAGCCCATGGTGAAACCTGAACTCGAGTGTAGAGAGGAAGGATTACAAGACAATAATCCAGCAGACAGCATTCTAACACTCCCATCTGTGTCAGCTCAAGAGGAGCATGTCGAGCTACTCACAGACATACGGAACTTTGTAGCATTTGGTGGATCAATGGATGGACGAGCCTCAACTGAAGAGATTCTTGCTCAGTTTAGTGAACGTTTGCCACCTGGATCTTCTCCTTTGTTCAAATTTATGTTGAGTGAAGTGTGTGAGTTCCACCGACTGACAAGTGGACAGGGTGTGTGGAAGCTGCGTAGTGCTTTCAGATGGTAATTTTTAGTAGTGTCTTCAGATGTGATCTCTTTCAGAAAAGTAGCTTCTTTGCTTCTTTCAACATATGCACTGGTGACTGGATTTAAGTATTAGCCAATATTCCATGCCAAACAATATGGCCACCTGTGATGTCAGGATACTTCAACCCTCTCTCTTTACTTGCATCAAATGTCCTTCCTTTTCCATTGACCAAAGCTGCTGTTCTCTTAGTATGGCTACTAAATAATGTTCTTGTTTATTTCTCTTGGTTGGAAGGGTGGGTAGGCCTAGTCTGATCATGTTGGTAAAAAAAAATCCTGCTGGGAACTAAAGAATAATTGTATACTCTTACCACCATTACTTTGGTTGAAGGTGGTATTCATATTTAAAAAGTATTACATAAATTTATTTTATTTAATTTTCTGTTTTATTCCCCTTCCTCCATTTTTTCTGTTGTAGCAACTTAATGTTATTGCATTAAGTTTCAAACTGTATTGTTTTATCAAGATTTAATTTAAACAATTAAAGGTTGCACCAAGAAACTTTGCTATGTAAAATTACTAAGTAACTAGGAACTTCTTACTCAGACTGCTGTATTTTTAATCCAGTTACCTCATAATAGTAAGTGGGGATAATTCTTAACACAAAAAGTTCCTTTTTCATTAATTCCTAAACATTCACTCTGTTGCATGTTCTTGGTTCTACTGTGTGCTATGTATCTGACCCATCTGAACCTCTTTCTTTTAATCTATGTAAAGACACTGAAGAGTATAAACTGGGAAGTAGATGTATTAGTTTATTTATTTCAGAGAGTATCATACAATAGTTAATAACACAAACTTGGCAGAGCTGTTTAACTATGTAGAGGTTCTGGAGGACATATAGTTTAGCATAGAAGACAGAAGAAATGTTGGTAAACTTCTACCAGACTACATGGCACTACAGCCCAGAAGAAATCTTGGCTAGCAGCCTTAAATCTATGTGAATACCTTGTCATTTTGATATGTAAATGGTATATTAATGAGGTGCTCGTAATGTGATGTGAATAAAGTGTATCTTGGTTTCCCTGTAAGCACTTCCCTGAATATTGCATGGTATGATGTATATTCCCCATGTACAATATTAAATATGATACCATGAGACATAATTAAAGCCGAATATCGGTACCTAATGGTTATAACTCCTGCTTCATATCTGTGAGGTCACAGGTTCAACTGCAGATACAGTACCTGATGTGCTTCCTTCCACATCCTTTCCAGGAAATTAATTATTCAGTAATACTACCGTTTGACACTGCACAGTCCAAGATATTGTCATTAAATAAATATAATATAAAAAAGTAATTGATGTCCAAGTTAGGAATGTTCTTGGTCCAGTCACCCATGATATCGATTTTATGGGACGGCCGCCATTGTAAAATTCAAAACTCAACTTGTATCCGGTTATCAGGATATCAAAGAAGGTATCAGTAATATTATTTGGAGCATTATTATTTTCATACACACACACCTCGAAATGTAGTCGCAGCCATGACACTATGTAATACCAGCCGCCATATCCTGAGTAGTTTATGAAACAATCAACAGATTGCAGACTGGTGCAAATTACGTGGCTGTCTGTTTTAGTCATCAAACCAATACTTGTGTAGCTTTCGGAATCTTTCACACAACTATCGGAACTCGAAGAGATAATGATCGATCGAGTTAGTTGTGAATACAAATTGAATAGTGAACATGTTGGTAATTCGTAGTCAACTTTATGTCATGAAAAACAAGTAATTTCTGATCTAACAAACTTCTGTCGGTAAAATTAAAGTAAAGGAAAGCAAAGGGGTATTAAATATTTCCAGTTTACGTTTACAGTTGTTACACGATGACGTAAATAAGGCACCAAGAAGAAAGTTTAATTTCTTTCAAATGATATGTATCACATCATCGATGAATAAAACTACAGTTTGGCGCCCTTGTGCTTGACGACGGGACAAGTGAATAGTGGGGGACAATGGATGCATCAAAAGGACGGATCTGCGGCGGGTATTTCGAGTTGCTTGTTCGTCGCGTGCTGCAACAGCGGGATCACTATCGTCCATCTCGCTCTACCTCTCAGTATCAGCTCGACCAGCATCCGCAACAGTGGTAATACAGCTGCAGTACACGACAGGAAGATGACAAGATGGCAATAAAATTGTTCATTAGCTACGGGCTGTCGTGTAAGTATCAATGGGGACGAAGTGAAGCTCGAATCGCAGTGAACAGCAGAGATTCCAGTAGGCTTACACCTATAAGCTGGCGAAGAAAGGAAACATGCTAGTGCTAAATTGACAGTTGTGCTTGTTTCCGTTGTGTGTTTGGCAATATATCACTGACAGTATTTACATTTATTAGGTCTCTCTCGTAGTATTTGTAAATGTACAACATGGGAGCCAGCATTACTCAAAAGTCAGTTAAGTGGTTTTTGAGATTGTGCATGTGAGATGATGGTAATTAATCCAGGTCCTCTGATGTGTAGACTTGGGGGTAGGCCTCCCACATGGACATACCGGTGACCCTGCCAACAACTTGTTTTATACAGAGGCGGGGAAGTGTCTGTGTATTATATTACGCTCTATACGTCTCGATACCCGACAATTTGGACATAGTTTGTTGAAATAAGTGCACTTTTGTTCAACAGTCATGTACAGTAGAAAACCCGACAATTTGAACATAGTTTTTTGTTCAACAGTCATGTACAGTAGAAGACATCTCTAATGACTCTTGTTGCAATGTCTGTCGCTGACATGTATGTGTTACATTGTATGTAGTGATTTCTTATGTCTCCTAACTAGTTGTACTTTGAGAATATAACATCATACTTAAATAGTGTTCCGTAAAGCACTTGATTATACTACTACGGACTGCATGTCATTCAAGCTCACGTTTGTTCACAAATAGCTATTATATTGTTGGATCAGAGAGGAACAGTTGTGGTTTAACGAGTCGACTCTCATCAAACGTCAATATAGCGTCTTACCGTGGTATTAATACAAGAGGTGAAGTGATGGAAGTGAAGAAAGAGGGATGGAATATACGAGTCCCGTCCAGATTATAATTTTACGTTTGCATCATTTAATTAAATGTACAAACGATGTGAAAGATTATAAAGTTAAATATTTTATATTTTTCTTAAAATATTTTTATATATCTACGTTTTAAAAAAATATCCTATATGATCGCGTGATCAGATTGGGAAATGCACAGTAGTGAAATTTGAAAGCGACTCGTTCGTTTTTGTGATTATGCCTGTATTCCGTTGTTGGAAGAAAATAAATCACCGTAAGCTTGTATAGATAGTATGAACGGTGTGTCGTAATAAGCTTCACAACGGGTGCCACAAATCTGTCGGATCCTCCGTCGCATTTGGAGCAGCAGAGCCCGCTGGCCGCCAGCAAAGCTGATCACCAAAAAGTAGAAGGCAGTAATAAACAGTGGGGTGTCATCACCATGCGCCTAGGAGGGGGAGGAGCTGTACAGGGTACTACAACATTATCATCTCCTAGACGTCGTCTTTCTCATCATAACATCCATCAGGTGGAGGAAGACGAAGATACCAAGGAAGTTATGCCAGGAGATGCGAGCAGTGCCTTATCGGCGCCATGGGAACACCTCCTTAGTAGCACCATATCTCCAGCAGCTGCCGTGGCCGTTAAGTTGGCCATCAGCGAGGAAGAACCAGAGGAGCAGCCCCAGCAACCCTCGTCCTCTTCCAGGAGAAGATGTGGTCCTGCTACCGAGAACGGGGGTCTGTTGGGTACCATCCACAGACACCTGCCGTCACTCTCCAGACTTTCACTGGGCGCAGCGGCTGCAGCAGCGAAGACGAAAGGAGATCACGGAGCACCACTGTTCAGGCAAGTCTAAAACAACAAAATTTCACCAACTTGTGCTAGAATTATCGTTGTTTTTTTAATTATCATAGTTTATGTGAGGTAAACATCTGTAGTTAATTTATATCTTCACCGCTGTGAAAACTTCAAGTTTTAAACATATCTGAAGTTATAAAATCGTAATTTATTCTGTAGATCGTAAACGAACGTCGACATACCTTAGTGAAGTAGCAGCAGTTGTATTTCTTGGGTGCAGTGCAGGTGAAGATGTGTTAATTGTACAGTGATTGGAGTCGGAATGGCTCAGACAGAAAGGTGACTGGCTGCGGGCTGGACAACCGTTGCTCGAATATCATTGGCGGTGATTTTTTCTTTCCACCACCGCGTCCAGACAGACTCTGGGTCCCACCCAACCGCCTTGCCAATGAATGACGGGGGTAAAGCGGCTGGAACGTGAAGATGATCACTCACCTCCATCCAGTGCTAAGGTTAAGAATGCATGGATCTATACCGTTGCTCCTCCATAGGTCTTCAAAGCGTCGTGACTAATTAAGCTCCAGGGTTCGACACAGCCTGGAGCCTCCTTAATCATAGCGGAAAAGAGGGATACATCCGTGGAATGGGAAACATGGAAATGTAATAGAAGAGAGGAGGTAAACGAGAAGGGAGGAAAGCTAAACAAGGAAGTTAGGAAATATAAAAGAAAGAAACAAAACGGCAAGGAACAAAAAAAAATCTAGATAAAGAAGGAAGGGCGGTAGGAGAAAGAAAGAAAGAGAGAAAGACACGCTAGTATGAAACCAGCGAGCCAGTGCCAGGGAGGAGGCATCTAGTCAGGTTCTTATTCTTGTATTTTAGAAAGATGAAAGCATTTATCCTTATGGTGCGCTTTATATTTTTGCGCTTCTGTTCAATTTTACGCGAGGTTAAAAAGTTTAAAATGTTTTACAAATTCTGCAGTGCATGGATAAAATGAAGAAGAAATTTCATATTAATGTGAAATATCACCGAAAGTCGCTGCCGAATAGTTAGTATTTCTTTGTATTCGGAAGGTATCGGGTTCAAGTCTTGATCCGAGTCCAGCTATCATGATTGCGGGTTTCCTCAGTTCCTCCAACGAATTCCGGGATAATATCTTACAGCTGTTCACAACAGCTTCCTCTCATATGTTTCCCAATTCATTATTCACCATAGTTTAAGCTATGGCAGCATTGTTAAATTGGCCACAAATAAAAAGTCAAATACTGCAAACATGATGGCGTCGTGGTGCTTTCTGTCTCAGGTTCACTCATATTCTGCGTTTTCCTGGACGTTTATATGCAAATCTATAACTGCACCTATTGTTTTGTATGGCTGTGAAACTACATATCTCACATTAAAGGGTCAGGAGGTCAACAAAACTCCGTGGGCGTGTTGGCTATTACTTAGTGTGACTGTTTCAGATGCTTGATATTCGTCAGTTAGGCAAAAACGAGAAGGAATATTCTCATCTATGTTCTCACAAAGTAAAGTAAAGCCATCCCGTTACATGTCAATGTCGGCACTTAAGGGAGGGGGGGGGTATAGTTCCTATTCATTCCTATCGTCGGCACTAGACGGGGGTGAGTGGTCAGCGTCAAGCCCCGGCCGCGCCTTACCCCCGAGAAAGGAATCGGTGCCCATTGTGCAGGAGGCTGAGTGGCCCCACAGCCGGTCTGCACGCAGAGGCTAGAGAAGAAACTACTGTCTCTGACAGGGATCGAACCCCGATCGTCCATCCCGTACCCAATCACGAAATTTGATTGAGCTACCAGGCTCACTTTTTCACAAAGTGGTACCTGAATCTGGCCAAGAACATCTTTACAGTATGAAAGAAATGCCTTCACAAGGCGCAGTAGTCGTCTTCTGATGCTACTTCTCAGCACCGAAGCAAATTATAACGGTGTCAGTAGAGCGAGTTATTCTTCAATCTATCAAATAGTCAAGGGATCACCCATCTTCCGTTTGTAAAACCCAGTGGTTAATTACTGCATTCACGAGAGCCTGACACGGGTCCCTATCCTGAACCAGATCAACATAATCCACATCGTCACACAGTATTTTTTAAAGATACATTTAATGTTATCCTCCCATCTACTCCAATGCCCAATAGCAGTCTCTTTCGTTCAGTTTTAAGACTAAAATTCTGTATGCATTTCTCATTTCTTACATGCTTCCGACTGAGTAGTTATTCAAAATTACGCGATGTGTTATCGTTCTAATGATTTTCATTTTGTGTCCAATTTTGTTCGTTTGTTTTTTGTTGAAAATTTCGCGAGGAGAACAACATGGTGTGTACCCCTGAAATATAGTGAGTCATAAGAGATAGGAGGTCGTGTTTTTGCGACATTCTGTCATCGTCCATGAAAATAGCCACCTTGGCAATAAGCGTGGCTTTTAAGCATGAGCGGTACCATCAACAAAATGTACACTGAGGCGTAGATCGCGTGGCGCCTCGCGTTAAGGCAGCAGTGGACTCGACGCAGGCTATTTTAATAGTGGAACTCTCTGCTCACTGCAAGTGACTGGTCTTTCAAGAGACTTTTCTCTATTCGGGAATGGGGATTGGAATTGAAATGAAGGTCCTAACTTTCGTGGCTCAGTGGTACTCCGTACAATGGAACACAGCAGAACGCTCGCTGCGAGCGTACGCTTCAACTACATGGTTAACGTCTGGCTGTCTGGATCTGGCTAACGATGTACTTTCTCTCATCGAATCTGTTGTATTCCAGCTTATGACGCACCTCTGAACCACGAAAGTAAGATAAACGACTTTTAATTTTTGTTTTTCGAAGTGTTAGCTCGGCTAACACGATTAACTTGATCCTCCGCCCCAGGATACTATGGACTGTCGCAAGGGGTGGCCTGGATTCTGATTTGACGCAAACTCAAAATAGGTTTGAACTGAAACTTTAAAGTGTCAGAAATGTCGAAATATCCTCACTGCAGCATCAGAACGCATTAATTGCATGTCAGAAGAGTAAAGCAAAAGTGGGGTCTTTTACCCCCCCTCCCCCTCCCCCTCCACACACACTTTAACTAAATTGGAAATTACAGTCTATGGCTGCCGACTGTTCGCTCTTAAAGTCGGAGAAAAGCCATAACAAATCTGCGATTTAATGTTCATACGGCGGTGAAGATGTTGATGGCTGTCTTCTGGGTTGTTGCGCCGTGTGTTTACCGATATTTCAGAGGTCCTTGCTGCCTCCATCATCGCCATTCTACCAGACTACACAGCGCAACAATCCAGAAGACAGAAATCTTCATACTCATCGTCGTGAAACCTCAAATTCTACGTAAATATTCTATTGTTAATGAATAGGGTATATATTTATTTATTATTTCAGTCTATACACAAACTTAATTTTAATTTTTAAATGTTGTTGTTAAAATTAATATTAAAATTAAAATTTAGCGCTTTTCATCGTTATTACGATGTTACATTTCAGCGCTTATTATTTTACGACATATTTCGATGCTATTGCATCATCCTCAGGTTTTTATTGTTATTTTGTACAAAACAAATAAATCAATAAATGGTTGCATTAATAAATATATATTAGTTTTAAAGATGAAAATAACAATAAAAACCTGAGGATGATGCAATAGCATCGAAACATGTCGTAAAATAATAAGCGCTGAAATGTAACATCGTAATAACGATGAAAAGCGCTAAATTTTAATTTTAATATTAATTTTAACAACAATATTTAAAAATTAAAATTAAGTTTGTGTATAGACTGAAATAATAAATAAATATATACTGAATTTCAACACAAACATGACGCATCTAAACTACAAATTTAATGAATAGAGTTTACTCCTTAATAACTTAAAGCTGTGAGCACAGGTACAAATCTCCAGCGAGCATTACACCGTGACGTTCAGAAAGACTTTACACGTTAGTTACGTATCTGCTGTAGGAATCTCCGTTATTTTTAAGAGATATTTTGTTTTAATGAAAGTAATTCTTTGAACTTCAAGAGGACTGAAACTCAGAACTATCGAATGAAAGCAGTGAGTTATCACGAGGCCACGAACAGTTACATACACGTGCATACGCCCTACTTTCTTTCACACCCCCCTCTGATTTTTATTACTAATAACGAACCTTCGTAAACAAAATAGCATTCCACTTCGTCACTGTACTCGACTGCTTAGGGTTATTTCTGTAGTTTCTTTGAATTCCCTGTCTAGCTTTCGGAGACGTATTTATTTATATGTTTTGGCAAACACCATTCTAATAAAACAGTCTGATGTGTGGCTTTCTTTCAAATTGTTTGTATATTATTAACTTTGCTCACACAGTTAATGTCTGTGGAGTAATTTAGTTTTGTTAGTAACGATTTAAACGAAGAGTTAAGTCGTCTCTTGCGGTCGTGTTGTATGTAGGCATCAAAAATCATTATTACATTTGAGTTTTCTGGGAGACGTGAAACTGATTTTGTACGCTCAGTTTGTATGGCGAGTATAAAAATGTAAAAGGGGTGCACTGGACAAGGTGTCTTTTCGGTTTATTTTTTGCGTATGTAAAAAGTGAACTTGAAAATTTAGTCTGATTGTGTTACGTCATCTTTAGGACTACATAATGTTTGTGTGTTTGAACAGAAGTTGTTTGGCCAGACTGAAACTCTGGTGTGTAGCTTCTGAAGTAGTGGGAGAAAGCAATTTCCTGATCGCCAGCTGTACGACAATAAAACAGGCTGCTTACTTTGCCAATCATTTTCATCTCCGGATTTAGTAATTTGTGTAAAAGCCTGAAGAGGCTGTCTTCTGGAATTTTGCGCCGTGTAGTCTGGTAGAACATGTGCGACAGCTTGTAAATAAAACATGACTTAAGATCTTAGACCTAAGTTTCAATATTTATTCACCATAATCAAATTTAAATTTCTTTCGAAAGACTGGACACTGAAATTCGAAGATGTGTAAGGTTGGGGAATTGAATTTTAGTTAAATCCGAAGCCGATAGTCTACGCAGTCCGGCGCAAATCGCGCTATTGTCAGAG